GCTAGACACATCTATTTCGATAGATGTATTTACGGCCAAAAACCTGCCTCATCCAATTGCAAAAACTTACAGCGAGTTATTTTCTAACTGGTGTGTTTCAATAAAGCAAATTTATTTTTCTACTTTCAATTTACGCAATTTTACCGTGAATAGAAATGCAGCTAAAAGTGTCATCAAAATGGTTTTGCATTAATGTCTAACAACCAGATCATCATTATAACGCTGGAAAAACCAACACAGTATAGCTTTATAACTCATCTTTTAATCTTGTGGTCTTCCATTCTTTTTAAGTCAAACCAGTTCTTCTCACGTTTTTAGCAGAGTTTACAATCAACAGCGTGGTTTTAATGAATAAAAAGACAATATGAGGAAAAATACTTTTTGATTGCTGTTTTGTAAAAGGATCAGGAAGAGACAGCCTGCACACAAAAAAATCAGCAGCATTTCTCCGCCTGGCCATCTTCTTCCAGAGCGCGCACAACACGCATCTCTGATAAATGGCAGGACGATGGATGGGCTGACACAGGGGCCGGACAATAATGGCTGATCTACAGGACACAAATGCAGCTACTGAGAAGATTTATGGGCCACTGCACATCGAACACCATCCGCTATCCAATGAGATAATTTCTCAAAACTCCAGAGGAATGGCAGCCGTGGAACTCCACTCTCCGGTCCCACTGTAAGTGCTGATTAATCGCATGTACTGCGCCGGAGCTGGTCCTGGGAGTGCACCCGAGAAACAGGAGAGCCGCCATAAAAACGACAAGAAGAAGAGCAGCTCGAACGGGGACAAAGACAGAGAGAGAGAGTGTGCTCCTTTAAAAGCATGAAAATCATTTGATGTGGCAAAGATCGCAAAAAAAAAAAAAAAACCTCTTAAATCTCATCATAATATTTCATTTATTTCCTTTTGACCTGAAAAACCTTTGTTTTTAGACAGGACAAACAGAAACAAAGGATTGATCTAATAATGATGCACCAGTAAACTGACCTCAGGTCAACATCATTTTCCTGTTGATGACAATCTGAAAGTTTTGATTTAAAAAAAATGTCTTTCCTATTTTACTGAAAACCTAAACTTATCAGACATCAAGAAGCTTGTCTTCAGATACACAGGTTTGTTTTGCGTTTATCAAGAATCAGGTAAAGGTTAGTGAGTAAGAGGGATCAACTTGAAGGTCTTTGATTTTCAATCTTATCTCTAGTCTGGATTCTGCTACACAAATTATTTAGTAAATGGGCTAACTAGCGCTTTTCTAATCATTCCGACTACTTGAAGTGTTGCACACATGGTACATGCACCGATATGCAGGTGGGTAGCAAACCTGAGGTCAAGTGCCTTGACCAGGGGCAAAGTGACATGCGACAAGATGATCATGGAATCAAACCCACAACGTTTGGATTGCACTACCGCCAACTCTTTGACATTCACATAGTACAGCAACTAGACTCATTAGTTATTAAATAATAATTAAGACAGTACAATAACTTATATGTGGTGAGGATTTGAAAAAAAAAATTAAAAAAAATGGCAGAACCCCCTTGTGGCAACTGAGAGAAGTACACATTCCTGGGCAAACTGTTAGCTAACTCGATTCACCCACATCTTCCAGAGAGCTGCTGGATCCACTGGATCAGGATGGATTCTCCCTGAACAGCAGGAGCCGATCTGAAGACAGGAGCTCACTGACACACCGGCTTTTATCCGAGTCCGTCTGGTTTTACTGATGCAAACAGGCATTTAAATTCCTTCTAATCAGCGTCCAATTTTTAGTGGTGGGAACCGATTTAAATGTTTAATCAAGTTAAATGCAGGGTAATTAATTGCATTTTAATCGAAAACCATATGTTGATAGAATTTAAAAAGAAAACTTTTTACAGTTAATTTATGGAATAAACAGGCATTTCAGCTCAAAACCAAATCTATTTACCATTTTAAAGTGTTACTTGGGTTATTCAAAGTGCTACATGATTCCCATTCAAGTTTCAGTTGTTTCATGACCCATAGCGTTGGGGACGTCTGTGCTGCTGCTACATGTTTAGCACTGAGACGCTATTTTAGGCTTGAATAAGCGAACTCCTTTTAGCACAACTTGAACACAACAATGGTACGTTCCAGCGTCCCAGTAGATCAGGTTTTAAAGCAGAAATAAAACCCCAGTGGGTCAAGAGAAGCAGCTTTGTCTCAAATTGCTGTTGTTGCTTGTACATCACAAAAGAAAAGAAAAAAAGAAAAAGGCTTTTAATGTGCTGAAATCTATGTAACTACATGTAACTATGTAACTATGTAGCTACATTATGAGTAGAGCATTAAAATTCCCGCTCTACTCATAGCGGCTGCCCAACAGATACAAGAATACGTCCATAAATTGGAAACAAATGGTTATATAAATGGTTAAATATATACCATATTTATACAACTGAACTGGTATTTATTAGTTTTTAGGAAAAACAATTGAAATCTTCAGTTTTGTCTTCAAAATAACTTGAGTTTGGCCCAACATTCACAGCAGCTGGAGTCAAACTCTGTTTCAGTCTTCAGGACCTTTTTGTGACATTTTAAGAAAGATTGAAAAGCTGAGTATCAATTTACATTTAAAATGAAGCACAATCTGAATCACAAAGGAAGCCCCACGCTTCCTCTCTGTGTACCACTCTATAAGAAGTACAGTTTAAGATCATTAATCCTCCGTTTGTGTATTCAGGAGACCATCCAGGATCAATATTACAGACGAGGGAACGGCAGCGCGCCACCCCAACAGTTAATGTCCGTTTAAAATGGCCCTTTAATTGTGAGCGCCGTTGTGCCGGCCTCCATCTGAAGCACTATCAAACAGCGGTTTACCATCCGCTCCTCAATGCCAGGCCGATGCGGCTGCCAGTGTAACTTTCATAGGATCTCTGATTAAAAACTGCTCTGCAGTCCCCAGCCTCTTGACCCCTCACCCCGGCTCCACTCCATCTCCAAGCTCGGGAAATTAATTAAAATTTCCAAGAGATGCTGCGGCGATCACATCTCTGATGAAGGTGTGGAAGGGGTGGCTGGGGGCTGGGGAGAAAAGGAATTGGTCAAAATCCCCTCTATCTACTTCATTCAGCGGCTAGGCAGGAAAGAATCACAAGATGGCCACAGAGGCACTTCCTGTGTGAGAATGGAGTGTTTCCTGTGCCTGAGGGCCTGAGAAACCTCGCTAAATAACGCCATCAATCATGGTGGGAAGGGAGGAGAAGGGGTGGGGTGGGGGGCTTACTCTCGCTGGCTCGCAGGGAGAACAAACACACAAATAATTAGACGTATTGTAATTTAGCCCGGAGCGAAGTCTGTCCCGGGTTTCCGTCTTTTCCCTGGTGGGGAAAAGCAGCAGATCATTCCCATCCCTCCCTGCTCCCCCTCTGCACCCCCTTTACACAACAATAAAATTACATTTGCATTAGCTTGTGTGAGAATTTGGTTGGATGATTTATTGAAGCAATCAACACTGCACTGGCCAATCCCTGGCCGTCTCACTTAAAAAGAGAGTTTGTGTGCGTATGTGTGTGTGTGTGTGTGTGTGTGTGGGTGTGTGTAGCTGGGAGCTTTGGGGAAAAGGAAGGAATAGCTTGGGCCATGAACCAAAAGGGGGTTGGGGGGAGCGAGGCATGAGCTGTGCAGCGGAGCAATCACTGAGATTCTGCCTTTGATTAGATTAGCATTAAACAACACCCTGACAGATATGACAAATAGGTGCATTAGCGGCCGTCATTCTTTGCCGTCGAGCTTTCAGTCCCGCCGTTTCTGCGTCTCTGGACACGAGGAGGCTCACATTCACTTCCCCCTCCCGAGTCCCACAAGCCCCGGTTCTCAAGGCCGATGACATCCAAACAGATGTGTAATCTGGCCGCGCTACTTTTTCTGTGGAAGAAGCTAAATGAGTAATGGGAATCAAACAACATATGGGGGGAGTTAGTAGGAGAAGGGAAGAAAAGATGGCGGCATTTGGTGGGACGGGAGATCCACCCAATAACAGAGCAGAGCACGTTAAAAAGCCTTTGTGGTTTTTGTTCAAAGCGGAGAGGACAGTTTCACTGGTTTTACCGAATAAAGTAATCACCGCCTCGTTAAATGAACTGTAATTATCATACCTGACGACCACTTGACCTGGACAATTATCATATAACTGGAGTAGGACCTGCCTGACGGGATGAAGTAGGCCAAAACCCCAATAGGAAATAAACTAAACAGGAGAACGTAGTTTGACTTTTAATTTTACAAGTCTGTACTCAAATTTGGTGTCATTACTGGGACACCAGTACATGAGGTCTAGTATTAGTCCATACCGACCGAATACAGAAAAACAGCTGAATTCACTTAAAATGACTTCATTTTAACCACAGACATAAATGTACTCACAAATTTATCTGCTAACTCTGTACCAGAACAGGACACTTCAAATTAAAAAAATTAAATGTTGTTTGAAGAACTAATGAGCTACAATAACATTTAATTTCCCTTTGGGATTAATAAAGAATTTCTGAATTTGAAATACACCAATAGCTTCACCAGGGACTGAGCCCTGGTGAAGCTCAATAATTAACACTTTTCTGAGGAGAGTAGCATTTCGGTTTCATCCAGCAGGAACCCTTCTGTGCATCTCTTAATAGTAAGCAGCCATCCCAGAGTGATCCATTGACAACCCCAATCATTGACCCCACCCACGTCCGCTCATGATCCCTGAATTAGTATTCATGAATCCAGCAGCAGCTAAATAAAACCTGGCAACCAAAACACCCACAGGACGGAGAAGAAAGAGCCAATCAATGCAAAGCACCATCAAATCTACATCATCCCTCCTCATCGGTTTGGGCCTGGACCACGAGGGCCAGCAAAGGGGTCAAAGGTGACCCGGACAGGTCGGCCTCTCTTGACCCCTCTGACCCGTGTTTGCAGCTCGTCGTCCTCCACCTGAGCTGGAGCGTCACGGCGGTAGAAAGCAGAAAGAGAAAGATGCTGCACTTGCCTGAGAACACAGCAGCATGACGAGCTCCACCACCGAGCTGCTGGACTTCATGCACACCAGACCTGGACGAAACAAAAGGTCAGGAGGTCAGAGAGCGTGTTCAAACAGACACAGTTACACAGTAATAGCACACTCTGTGACTACATGCTAAAATTGGGTTTTAATTAAAAACCTACTTAAAAAAAGGGTTTTTAATTGTTTAGTAGCACAGCAGTGCAAAAGACACAATGTTACCAAGTAATTTTAGTCGAGTTTCTAGTGCAAATATCTTAGAACACTTGAAATAAGACAAAATTAACTCACAGGGAATATTTTATAAAGAAATAGATGCTTGTTTTAAGTCAATAATTCCTTGATACTCATAAAAAAAAAAAGTACTAAATACAAGTAGAAAAAAAATCTTCCAGTGGAACAAGACTTCGTTTACAATTTTAACTTACAGTGTGGGAAAAATGTCTTGTTCCTCTGGCAGATTATTTCACCGATAACTGGAACTTTTTCATCAACATTAAGGAATCATGGACTTAAAACAAGCCACTATATCTCACTAAAATGTTACCTGAAAGTTAGCACACTTGAAATGAAACAAAACTCCAATATTTGCACTAAAAAGCAGATCAAAAACACTTGCTAAGATTTTGTATTTATGCAGTGAACCAACATAGATCTAGTTATTAGGTCTCTATGGTTCTGATCCGGTGGGAATCCGACTGAAACAATGCTTCTTAAATCAATCCAGCTGTGTGATTTACAATCATTCCGTTGCAGAACAAATGGTTCAAATCAGCCATTTACAGACCCAGATAGCCGTGACCCTCGTCTCCTTGGTGACAGCTAGAGGCTGGTAGGTGGTGTTAGCTTCCTGGGTTCTGGTGGAGACTCGTACCGGTCCCTGTCCCAGCAGACAGGGATCAGCTAACCTCGTGCCATCTGCATTGGGGGCAGGGGGTCGTATTGACGGGACTAATGAGTCGACATGATGTTACTGTAAACCAATACATATCTGGGCCTTGTATTACAGGCTGGACCTGACCAACATATGTCTCCATTGATCCCTAACAGCGAGCCCAAGGCTTTAAAGGGCCGGTCAGGGGCCAGAGGAGGGTCCGAGGTTCAGACGGGGAGCAGCAGAGAAGCTTTGGTGTGTTTCGTTTCTCTTCAAATGACATGTTTAAAAAATAAAAAAAAAAACACACACACACACCTTCCTTCCAACGCATTTCTCCACCCTGCCTCCTAAAGCTATCAATCAACTTTCCATTTTGCTTGGTGGCAGCAGACATCCCAAACTCTGCTGTTAGCGGCCTGACCTCTGACCCCGGCCCGCTGGAACACCCCAGCTCATTGTCCCCTGCAGCTCATCACCGTATTAGAAGTGTTGTTGAATTGAAATTAGAGATGCACCGATCCCTCATTATTTGTATCGGTGCCGAAATTGAAAACAATTCTAGATCGGGTATTTGTGGCAATGTGGCCGATCCATGAGGGCAGATCTATTCAGTTTAATTCTATGCTTTGTGCTCTGAGTGACGTCATGCTTTATTTATTTGGCATTATATTTAGAATTTCCTAATTGCACTTTCTGAACCATTTGAAAGATGATTTGCTGCAGTTTGTTTTTACATGTTTGACCAAAGTAGTCAACCTATTGCTGTTGACAGTTTCTTCATTGTTTATTTTCCATTGGCTGTTCCACAATTACAATAAATTTGTAATTCAGTACATTTATGTCTGTGTTAAGAAAAAAAAAAAAAAACAGCATTTCAAGCAACTTCAGCTCTGTTTTTCTGTATTGGATTGATATCGGCCGATACTAAACCTCAGATATCGGTATCAGAAGTGAAAAAAAGTGGATCGGTACATCCCCATGAGTGACCCGTCTCCATGCCAACTCACTGGTGCCCTCGATGAGCAGCTCCTGACCGTGGCTGCCCAGCAGGGTCCGGGACAGGAATGGGGCGAAGTCCACGAAGATCTCCCTCAGCAGTGGGGCGGCCTTCTCCAACGCATGCTCCAGGCGCTCCGAGATGCTGAAAGGAGTCCAGAGAGTAGAACGAAATCATCTCCATCTCTCAGGTAACATCAGCAGGAACTCACAAAACATTTGAAAAACCCATCAGCTGGAATATGTGCTTTTAATGAGGCCAAACATCCAACCAGGTCAAAGACCATAAGATATGCATAAAAACCAAGTATGCTTACGAGTGTAAAAAACTGTGCATGCAGGGACAAGGGGAATGGGGGGGGGGTCAAAAAGAAGATGAATCACCTCATATTGGGGGCTGTGTTCTGGGTCACAGGGGAGAGTGGGGGGACAGATGGCAGGCTGGAGCTGGCTGGAACCTGGCCGCCTGCTGCAACCTGGCCGCCTGCTGCAGGGAGAAACCAAACAACTCGGTTATTAGTCTGGATGTTGGACAAGAACGCACACACACACACCCATATACACACACACACACACACACACACACAGCAAGAACTGCTACATTCAGGGTACTGCACTGCAAAAACTAAATCTTACAAAGTATTTTCGGTCCAGTTTCTAGTGCAAATATCTTATTACGCTTGAAATAAGTCAAAACTAACTTCCAAGTAACTTCTCAGCAAGTAGAAGCTCGTTTCAGGTAAATAATTCCTTAATGTTGATGAAAAAGTACTACGGTAGATCCACTGGCAGATTTCATTTTTAATATGGAAAAATGTTCTCGTTATAAGTGCAATAATGATAATATTAGGGAACTATTTAAATAAAATAAGCAATATCTTGCTGATAAGTTACTTATAAGTTAGTACTGTCTTATTTCAAGTGAACCAAGACTACATGTTACACCAAAATTACTTCCTAAAATGTTGTTATTGCAGTTGTTTGAACAAAACATTTGCTCTGTTCAAACGAGATGCACAGAAAAGAGGTTGTACTGAAAGAACACAAAATCTTGAAGTAGTAGTTTCACTGGCAGATTATTCCACTTAGAGCATGGGGGAAAAAATTATTTTTATAAGTGAAATATTCTGCCAGTGGAACTAGTACTTTTTCATCAACATTAAGGAATTATTGACTTAAAACAAGCTCCTTTATTTTGCTGAAAGATTACTTGTAAGTTAGTTTTGTACTATTTCAAGTGTTGTAAAATGTCTGCACCAGAAACTAGATCATGAAATACGTTAGAGCTGCAGGAAGAGCAAGACGTTCAGCAAATAACAGGAAGGCTGAAGGAAGTAAAGTAAACTGCCCTGTTTGACCCTCTCCAGCCTCCATCTGTTGGAAAAGTTGGCAGCCTTTAGTAATATTTAGAGTTAAAGATTCATACTTTCTATAATGCACGCAGAGACTCCAGTTTCTGTAATGCTAGCTGTGCTATCCTTGCTAATGGTGCTAAATGAGAACAAGAACTAGAACTGAGAAGGTCGTGGAGTTTACATCTGGAGATTGGAAATCGCTGCATCTCTCGGTTTGCATTTAAATATTAAAAAAATCCAGATATTTTTTTTCTAGGAGGATCATTTAAAGAAGTCGTTTTTGAATTGAGATGCATGAAGACATACGATGGAGCATTGAGGCCATGCCAAGAACATAAATATAAATAAAACATTAGGAGAGTAAAGTCATAATGTTCCGACTTCTTGTAATATTATGACTTTCCTCATAACACTACGACATTACTGTCATTATATTGACTTTTTTCTCGTACCACTTTATTTTTGCAATATTATAACTTTATTTTCATATTATAACTTTTTTTATATAACTTTATTCCCATAATACTACAGCTTTCTCGTATTATTTTGACTGAATTCACATCCGTCTCTTCTTGTGATATTATGACTTTATTCTCGTAATATGACTTTTTCCGCATTATTTCAACTATTCTCTTCAATTTTACGCTCATAATACATTTCCTTCAAACTATTTTGACACCATTTTCGTACGATTATTCTCATAATTTGACTTCATTCTCAAATACTGCAACTTCCTCATATTATTTTGACTATTTTTGTATAACTTTAGTCTCGTAACGTGACTTTTTTTACGTAATGATTATTTTCATAAGAGTTTATTGTGGTAACATTATGACTTTATTCTCATTATTTTATTTTATTTTATTTTAGCATACTCCGTCGTGACGATATTCTTGGATTGCCATGTAAAAAGAAATCCTAAAAAAATGTTCTCAATTTAACTTTGTTTTTTTTCTTCATTTTTCTTTAAGCTTGGAGGACAATAAAACTCACATATTTATAAAAATAATATATTATTCTACTGTTGTTTTTGAATGCTAAGGGGATTTTTTTCATCATTTTCCCCTCATTAAATCATCCCAAACCAACTCCTCTGGGCTGTTTGACCGTTTCATTATCCAACTAAAAGGTGCTTTATGACTTCACTTTGGCGACAGAAGCAAACGAGCTACAAAGTCTCTGTGTGATTGATCTGGCAGTAAATTCTCTTCTCTGTGCCTCATAAATAAGCTAATGCCCAGCTGAATATGGAGCGGGGTGGGGATTGCTGGGGCGGGGGGGATTCCTCTGGTGTTTCAGCCGTCTTGTTTTTCCAGCCAGGACGGTCTCGGAGCAGGGATAACTCTTCGGGACTGACGCGCGGTGTAGTGTGCGCTGGAATGCGAGTGTGAGCGGGGTGTGTGTAGGGGAGGTGTTAACCAGCGCCATGTGGACCTGGTGGGAGCATCCCTCTCCAGCTGAAGTGGCTCCTTAAAACAAATGAGCGTCTCCATTAGTCCTCCCACTGCCCCATTAAAACGTGCACTCAGAAGCATATTTACTGAGAAACGCTGAGCAGCTCCCAGCACCTGATGCTCACTGCTGCATTTAGCATCCTGCAGAAGCAGAAACGACTCCATAAAGTCTGTCTGTGGACTTGGGAATAAAAAAAAAAAAAAAAAAAGCTCAATTTACTTCAATCATTTCCCATTTATTGGAGCAAAAGAATAAAAATTGTGCTTTTCTATAAGACTGTCGAACAAGACGGAGGTTTTTCTGCATGTTTAAGAACATAATTATTTTTATAAATCTACTTTCTCATGCTAGCAGCTTATGATGCTTAGTCACAAAGTCAGCCTTCTATCTTCTAGGATTAAAGTATTAACATCTCAGCAAGATCTAGAGAAACTCATTAATGGGTTTATCTTTAATCGCATCGATTACTGCAACAGTGTCTTCACAGCCGTCTAAAAATAAATAAATAAATCCTCCAGCTGCAGCTGATCCAGAACGCTGCTGCTGACATTCTGACTAAAACCAAGAAGACAGAGGAGCTCTATTCTCTGAGCTCCTTACAGCTCAGAGAATAGACTTTATAACACTGTTGTTAGTTTATTAATCACGGAAAGGCTTACACCATGAACCTGTGGCTGTGTCAACCATATTGATGCAATCCCCAGGATGAACAGATCGTAAAATGATGGAGATTGTTCAAACGTTTTGCCTGAAGCTTTGTCAATCCTGAGCTTCAAACCAGGTCAATTTGGCTCGGGTGGTTCTGGTGCTGGGAGAGATCTTGGTCTTGGAATTGGGAGAACTGAGACCAGCAGCTATGTAGACAAAATCATCACAATAAAACCTTTGGGTTCACAACGACCAACCACTGATGAATCAACCAGAACAGAGAGTCAAACTCTTCATTTCTGACTGGTTTTAATCCAGCACAACGAATGTTTCTGAATAACAATCAATCATCTTTTAACTCCACAGATTGTGACTTCACTGTTGGTCTGCTGTAAACTGGTCAGAGTGTGTGGAGGCAGACTTTCACTGACGTCTCTCTCAAACACAAACGGACTCATTCAAAATGAACATTAGCTTCAGACATCTGGAGAGCAGGCAGGAAGTGCTGACATTTCATGTCAACCTAAATAAAGCATACACACTTCACGTTTCAGTATTTTCTGCTATTTAACCAACACTTCATTGAAAAGCAAAGCACTTCTCCCCCGTTGTGTAATCTCTGCGGTATCATTGTGATGATTTGCGCTAGTAATCTTCTATTAAACACCATTTCTTACGCGCAGGACTGGAGACAGTATGTCAAAATCACCTGATTGGAGATTTTCTGGAAATACTTCAAATCTCACTAAGTGTTTTTGGTCTAGTTTTTAGCAAAATATCTTAGTGTTATTAAAAGAAGACAAAACTAACTTACAGAAAACGTTTGCAAGATATAAGAGCTTGTTTCACTCAAAATATGGAAAAGTTGTCTTGTTATAAATGAATTAATCTGCCAGTGGAATTAGTACTTTTTTATCAATATTAAGGAATTATTGACTTAAAACAAGCTTCTACATCTTGCAAAAAAACTTACTTTTAAGTTAGTTTTGTCTTATTTCAATTTTAATGATATATTTGCACTAAAAACTGGATAAAAAAATACTTTGTAATACTTCGTGTTTTTGCAGTGCAGCAGTCTGAGAAGCCAAGTTTCTAAAAGAATGTCGACTTTCTCTTGTCCAAACGACGATTTGGACCAATCCCGACTGAAACGCTTGCTCTCACACGTTCTACAGCTGGATGAACTTACAATCTGCAGCGTCCACAGAGGGGGCCTGGGAGGCGTCGCCCGAGGACACCACGGCCACGCCGTCCACCGGCGTCCCGGCGGAGACTGAAGCGGCGGCGGAGGTCTGGGCGGCGGCGGGAGACACTTGAGATGGCAACACGCCGGCTTTCTTTGGTGCGACGACGACGCTTCTGCAGAGAGAAGAAGACGTTTATCATTCCTTTATTGTTGTCCTGGAAGAAGTGCTGGGAGGAAACGCTGAGCAGGACATGACAGAGGAAGAATTCAAACACTGATCCACAGTAAGACTGCCTCAGCGACAACTCGTTACTTTGTTCTTTTAAAAAGGAGATCAGACATTGTTCTCAAAAAAACACCTGGAGAAGTCTGAGGTTCAGCTTACAAAGTACAAAAAGTACAAAAAGAAACGGAATTATAAGCTGGAGAACCTTTATTACGCAACGTTAGACATCACAGAACAGCTTAGAACCAAAACACATTAAAGATCTGCTGTTGCTGTATCAACCTTCCAGACCTGTCAGGTTCTGGTCTCCATCCAGAACCAGAACCAAACATGGAGAAGCAGCATTCAGCTTCTACACACCACAAATCTGAAACAAACATCCAGAAAACTGCAAAACAGTTTATATATATATATATATATATATATATATATATATATATATATATATATATATATGTTTATACACAACACACTTAATATGTTCTACCCAGAATTTCAAGTGGCAGTTTTAGCTTCACCTGCTTCAAATTCTGTCAAAAAAAGAATATATTCACTTAAGCGCCATTTTCTATCCAATTATTAATCAGTAAATCCATCAAATAATCACCAGATCAGCCATACACAGTATTAGAAGGATTTATTAGCTGCACATTCAAATAAATCATTTTTGTGTTTTTTTTTTATATTGTATAAAAAAGATTAAAAGGCAAAGTGGAAAAATCTACAAAATGGGATCTTTTTTTATCCGATTAAGTGATTAATCATCAGAACAATGTATAGATTAAATAAATTACTGAAATAATCATTAGCTGCAGCCCTAATGACTGTAATTAACTTGATTACTTATTATGGATTTTTGCCCGAATATTTCAAATGAGCCACATTATAGACAAGGTTTTAGTGAAACTATCCAAAGTGCAGGAAGAGGGTGAGTTCCAACAACTAGTTTCACCAAATTTGATCATTTTCAGGTTTACTGCATTGCCAAATCCTTTGTCGGTAGCAAACTGAAAAAATCAACACATACCCAGACTTTAAATTGTACAAAATAATTTATAATAGCTACGCACAAAAATAAGAAAAACAACTCTCTGCCAGAGATGAAATCTGTTTCATCTTGTAACAGTAATTCAGTCTCTTCAGATCGTGCCGTAAAGACAAAAAAAGAAAAAAAAAAAAAAGGAAGTGTTTCTCAGAAGCGTGAGCGAGAGAAGAGTTTCATTCCCATCTGACGAGCAGAAGATGGGCAGAGAGCAGCGTTTAGATAAGCTGTCAGTTTGGAGCAGGACTCTTGACAGACCACTGGTCATATCAAAGGGAGTCTGGTCCTGCTTATCAGTGCTGACACAGTGAAAGCAGGGTCTAATCACAGACTACTGCTAACTCTCAGAAACACAACCCGACACAGGCTCACCGAGATACGCAAACGCTCCGATCTGACGCAGATCACACAGCAGAGAGCTGCCCTCCGTTCCTGGTGCACGTGTGTTAACTTCCACTCAGACGGCCAGTCTAATATTTTCATGGTCGGTTCCTGTAGTGCGGACAGAACCCTGGCTGCAGCATCAGAGCCTGGGCTCCGTCTGGGTTCAGGCGGATTAACTAACAGGTTCAACTGAAAACACACATTTGGGTTTCCATGCAGAGAGAAACCGAAATGGAAAAGATGTTGCTACCCTTCAACACAGAAAGCTTGCTAAACCCAGGGTGATACTGACATTATTGACAGAACTTAATCACCTACTATGGTCCTGAAAAAGATGAATAAATATGATATATTTAAAGGTTTTAGCACTACAGTGAAAGACTTGTGTATGATTTACTTCTGGTGTTGCTCATTTAGCTCAGGCACACCACACATTATCCTTTGTCCACAAAGATACATGCGCTCACATCGGTTTCACTGCAAACTCAGGACGGTGGCACAAATGGCGTCGTAAGGCCAGAAAGTTGCTCTTACGATGTGCTAACATCCGTGCTAGCTAGCTTTTATTTTTTTAAGGTTTTATTTGCCTTTATTTGAGAATGGTCAGAGAGGAAAGTTGGTAACGATAGAGGGAGCAGACGTGCGACAACAGTCATGAGGCTGGAACCTGCGATGGCCTTCATGCATGGCTACAGCTGGGCTAACGTTAACAGAGTCGGCGCCAGCAGGCTCCTGGTCGCCTCGGCTCCTTGGACTTTGGGGAAAAAGGAAACCTGCACCATGTTTTTGATTGGTCATTTATGACTTGTGGCTATATTGGATGAAGTTGTTAGCATTTGGACAGGAAGTAGTTTAAGAAAATAAGACACCTGACCTCAGACTCCCTTTGTGTTCATGCACAGACCATAATAAGTCACCATTGCACCTTCAACTGTTTCACCAAAGATACAAGGATACATTTAACCCCTATATATTTAATACAACATGTAGCTAATATACAACGCTTAGCCTGATGCCCACCAGGAAACCCTGTCCTGTATGAGTGGAGACAGAAGTGACAGTGAACAGGATGGTGGTGTCAGGGCCGTGTTGCCATGAGACACCCCTGCTGTTAACAGTAGCTGAGGAAAAACGGGGAGATGGAGCGCCCCCTGTGTCTGGAGGTGTGGCGGTGCGCTCATGGCCCTGTTGTGTTCGGCCTTCTATCCGCGCCGTAGCAAAGGCCCAGTGAATTATTCAGCAGGTCATTAGCCACACTTATCACGAGAGAGCCGCCCCAGTTGATTAATCAGCCGTGAGCGGCTCCACTCAGCCCGCAAACAGAAGCCCAGAGCCAAACGTGTGTGTCCGCGCATGTGTGTGTGTGTGTGTGTGTGTGTGTGTGTGGCTGGGACTGAATTATTTAAAGCTCTCAACACAGAGAGCATAACAGCAGCCAGCGCTCTGATTCCACTGATCTCTGTTGTTTTAGCTCAGGATGTGACTGAGAATAAACTGTCTTCAGAGAGCATGGAGGTAAACACTGTGTTCCACGTTTTACTGCAGACCGATGAAGGTTTTACCACGTCATCATTTCAAAACTTTTCAAATGCAATTCTGTGCACATAAAGGTAGGAAGGTTTTAAAATGACTGCATGCGCAAATAACCTGCATTTCAAATACCTTCACAACATCAAGCTTAACCTTGATGACACACCAAGAAGCTCACTGAGTTTACAGAAGTAGAAATAAATGTTTCTTTTACTGTTTTTATCTCAATCATGTTTTTGTTTTTTTAGTGTCGTCAACTGAGTAAAAAATGGAATCAGTTTAACAACAATCAAGCTCTGTGATTAATATCATGATTAATCACCATGATTCACTTTGTAAGCCTGAAATGTAAAAACGATTATTTTTCATTTAATTACAGAATAAAGTTGTGACATTAGGAGGACAAAGTCATAATTTCATGAGAATTGAAACATGAAGAAAAACAAAAAATTTAAATGAGTAATGTTGAGCATCTTGTGTGTATATTCTTCACAAAATACTTCAACCTTACTAGAAGTACTTCATATTTTAATACATCAGCATCAAATTATCAGTAGAAGGACTTTGAAACGATCATGCAAAAACTGTTCATGTCAGAATTTAACAACCATCAAAGCTTTGGCTTATGAAAATAACTTTTTCTTATAACCTTGAGACTTTTTCTGGCAAACTGACTATTTTTTTCAGATAATATTATGACTAAGTTCTTGTAAGTAAACAAATATTCTTGTAGAAGGGACGGGGATGACTGAAATAAAAGCCACTTTAACCTGTAGTGTAAAAACCCAAATAGCGAAACTCAGCCCCACCGTTTCCTCACATAACATGTTCACCATGTTCACTAATCCTTTAACATTTTCACCGGCAGCACGGCTCATCTTCACATCAGCTATAGCGCGCGTCCAGCCTGTTATCAGGAATGCAAACAACTTCGCCATGTATATGCTAGCGTCTAACACTCGCACGTTCCGCTGAACCGTCCCAGTCTAGATCCCAGACATGTACAATGACATTGTTTAGTTCTGGATAGTGTCAGCAAATATTTGCAGACTGGCTGTCATAACAGGGGCAAAGCTGAGAAATGCACAGAGAAACGCAGCAGGTCTGCAGCAGTAAATAAATCAGGTGGGATACTTCACCCTCTGACCTGGGGAGCGGTTTTTATCTGCTACATCCCGGCTTTTTTCCCATCCGCTGCGCCAATAAATCGGGCCCTCTGGGCAAGCTGAAAGTTGCCATGTTTTGACAGGAGATGTCGGTGCAGAATGTCAGCTGGTGTCGGTGGGAGAGCTGGGGGTGAGTGGGAGATGCCGAGCGGTGATAGAATGATTACCGCCGTGTGATAAAACGCCGGGGCGTGGGCTCGGGTGCGGCAAACGCTCTACGGTACGTGTTGGGAGAAATGGTGATCTCAGCCATTTTTTTATTAACAGATTGGATGGACTGTAACAATGAGCACCTCTTTTCAGAAATCTTTAGATTTGATATCTGCAGTTGTACGATTTGTAGTCGCCTGTGTGACGCTCTCAGCCAGGTGATTCTAGGAAACGAGATTAAATAAAGATCATAAAACAAACAAGGAATTCCAGGGTGAAAGGCTTCCATCGGGATTCAGAGTTTTCCAGAATAAATGAAAAAATTTCTGACGATTTGAGGCAAATGGGAGACTCTGGAATCTGAGTTTAAGACGGACATGAACTGTAGAGAAAGAATTAAGTCTTACAGTAAGTAGGCAACCAAACCCAGCTTCAAAACTGTCTTGGGTTAAAAAGTAAAATCATTTGTTGTTGAAGATGAATGGACATGAGGTAAAGCAGTGGCTCATTTAAACGGAGAACATTTGATTGGAAACATCCAGACTCTTCACACCCCTGGAACTCATTCAGAAACTGATCTGAACTTGTGTCCAGTCACTCCAGCAGGCACCAACTTGTTATTCTGTTAAAAAATATCTCAAAGTCAAAGCAGTTTGTAGGATGATTTTCACACTGTTTTATCAAGACTTGATACTTTTTTTATGTCTGTCCTTTTCCTCTCAACTCCAGATGTTTCTGGAGACAAAGCCCTCCAACCCTACGACTCTCTGCAACCGCTTTCACAGAGGATGACTTAAAGGAATCAATTCTAATCTACTTATAGTCTGATTTATGGAAATGAGCTCCTGGGATTCCAGCAGAATATCGCCTGGCAGGAGATCAGTCAGAGCTCTTGGTCTGGTGATGAGCCAAAACGGATCAGGTCTCACCGGAATCAGAACGGTCAAATAGGGGGTTAGCATTCGTAACGTAGACACTTTGTGGACATTTAGGATAAATTAGCCAAGCAAACTGGAACCACTCGCCACCACAAGTGCTGATAAAGTGGCAGTACTATGTATTTTCCATTTTATAGCACAATCAATGTAACATGGTACCAGGGATGTTACCTTAAGTTGTTATAAACATGCAGTATGTATCAATAATTACTTAAAACAAATGTAACTTTACAAATTAGTGCCTTGAAATTGGGCCTCTGTCTCTTTAAAAACTCCTCTTCCTGAAACTCCGACTTCAGGAAGTCATCACGGGATGCCTCCTCTGTTCACCCTTTAGCAACATTTTACCAGTGCTGCACTGGGAAGAAGCCGAGTGGTTGCCATGGGAGATTAAAGGATTCCTCAGACATGCATGAAAGAATCAAAGCAAAACTCCAGGTATGATTTTGGTGAGAATAATACAACAGTTCATTTTACGTCATACTGTCCCTTAAAAAAACGAAAAAACTAATTAAGAATTCTTGATATCGATTGATATGAAACCCTAAAATCGTGATGTTTTTCAGACATATCGTCCAGTCCTAATCTCAGACAAATAAACTAAAAAAGGTGAAGTGAAAGCATTCGCTGAATTCTCATAATCCTCTCATCCACTAGTCGCTCCATTAGCATATTCCAACCATAAAACATGTCAAGTCGTCAATATAAACATCTCAATGACAATCATCTCTGCGACGACAGGCTTTTAAATGAAAACTATTAACTACTGCCGAGTATCAGGTTACCGTTTTTGACTTTCCGCACTGCAACACACACTACGGTCAACCGTGACTGTTCAGTGATGAAATGTCTCTTTCAGACAGGAAGCTTTCATCTTTTCCCCGAGCAGCAGCAGCAGCAGCAGAGGTAATGTTTGGTCTCTGCGTGAGGAGGCTCCTGTAGACGCGGGCCGAGCTGTTAGCCTACGCTCTCCAGCCGTCTCTCTCTCTCTCTCTCTCTCTCCACCGAGGAGCTCAGCGGACAGGAGCCAGTCTAATCCCCCTGATATGAGGAGCGCCCTGAGACCTGACAAAGCATTCCTCAGATAAAGGCCTGCCGTCGCAGGAGATGCCCTGGAATTCCCACAGTCGGAGGCCAGCAGACTGACTGAAAAGTAGAAAGGTTTCCCTCGGAACATGAGGGCTTTGACTTGACACTCGTCCCCCCTCCCCGATGCGTTCCCAGATCTGTTTTCTTCGTCTCTCTCCCCCTCAAAACCCGCTCCGTGCCGTATGCAAGACGTCTGAGAATCAATGCTCCAAATGCAAACCAGACCGATAGCCATCCTCTCTCACCTGGGTTTGTCTGTGACTTCAGCACCCTGCCGTCTTTGAAGCCCAACTGTCTCCCCTTCACCCCCAAACTCAGAGGTAAAGCAATGACTGTTGCCAAGTCCTTTTATGATTTAATGAGTCACGAGTTGCGGTTTTTTGGGTTTGTTTTTGAACATGAAGTTGCTTCTTTGGGCTCGACTGTCTTTCTGATAACAAGGTAATCTCCCAGCTCTCCAAAAGAAGACGACGACAAGAAGTAGGAGGATGATGGTTTGTTTTTGGGTTGAGCTCTCACAGCTTCACACAGTTCATTAAGAGTCTCATTCCAGCGTGTTGAATCCAAAGCTCTTCTGGAAAACGGCCGAATACAATTTCCCCAAAACGCTGCATATGTAGCCGCTCCCAAGTAAAAGGAGCTTTTTGCTCCAATGCCTGAATAAGATGCAGACCTCTCTTCTGATTGGCTGATAGATGATAAGTGCGAGTGCTGTGGCCGAGTTATGAATATATTCAGCCATGATGTTTACATCCGTCGCTGCCATGATTTTAATGGCTTATCACTTGTTTATGTGCGTAAGCAAACTTATTTACGTGTGATTTTAATTGTATTACTCATTTAATGGAAACACTGTCATTGTGAAATTGTGTTTTTTTTGACATTACAAATATTTACGCACACTTGTAATGGAAACGCAGTTGGTGACAAAAAAAAAAGGCAAGCATGTAAAAACAGAAAAATTGATATTTAATTTCACCTACATCTATTTTTTTATTTATGTTTTTATTATAAATATATAAGTTTGTACTGTTTACAAGTGACCTGTGTTTTACACAATGTGGTGGGTTGGCAGCTGGGCTTTTTTTGGACTTGTTTTCTTAGAGCTGGTTGCTTGTTTCTCTCATGATCTGGCAACACAGCCTTCTACCGCTAAGAAAAGGGGGAGACGGGGCGAGACGAGCAGCAAACAGCTTCCGTCTCCCGTCTCGTCCTCACAGAGAGGACTCCTGTCTTCTGCAGGCAGGTTCTTTGTAGAGCGTTTTTCTCTGCATGACGAGCTGCTCTGACAGACGGCAGAAAAACCAAACTCCGTGCTTCAGAGCGCTTTTTCAACATCCACCAAGGCCTCCTCTGAGGACGCCGAGCCAAGACGTCTTCAAGGTCTGACTTTCAAAAGTCCCCTGCAGCTATGCGAGGACACACATCAACAGACTGTTGACTGGAAATCTGGAGGATCACAAAACTTTATACCATATGGGTTTCAATAACTGTCAAAGCTGTCAGCTCCCGACAATTCTCCGATTTATTCCACAGACACACAAAGACGCAGCGCAGACAAGCTTGAGCGGTTGACATGGAGACGTGTCCAAAGGAGCGTTTTCAACCTCCTCACCTATCGAACGAGCGAAACTGGAGCGATGATCGCCGGTCCAAGTCGGTCACCGGTCCCAGAAAGGACAGGGGCAGCAGACTGGGGTCCACCATGACGTCTTCGGCCGGCGCGCTCACCAGGCTGCGGAGGATGTCCTTCACGTTCTTGGACTTGGAGTCGGCGAAAGGCGCGCCGCGGACCTCAGAGGACAGAGTGGACAGGGCTTCCGAGACGGCGTCCGGGCCGCCGGAGGAAGACAGGTCGGCCTCGCTGGCCACAGCCGATGTGTGGTCATCGCCGATGCCCGAGTCGTAGCGTCTCAGAGAGACGCCGTTCTCCACCTCGGCGCTGCTGTCTGGAGGGGGAGTGCGGGGGGGGAAGAGAGAGAGAGAGAGAGAGAGAGAGAGAGAGAGAGAGAGAGAGAGAGAGAGAGGGATTTGCATTTACTTATGTTGTTTTTTTTTTTTTTT